ATCTATCTATCTATCTATCTATCTATCTATCTATCTATCTATCTATCTATCTATCTGTCTATATCTGTTTTATATGTATGTGTCTAATATTATTATATTATATTACATTATAAAATATATTAAGGTTTGGAGATTTGGAAATTCCCCATCTTTAATACAGCAAAAAGTTAATAACAAATGTTCCTATCTTTTAAAAATGTTTTAATATTTTTTAATATTGCTAGTATATTTTATATACAGATACATACAGTGGCTATAAAAATGCATACCCGTTAAACTTAATTGTTGGAATTATGGCCAAAAGAGTTCAACCTTGGTCTCATTAGACCATAACATATTTTCCCCATGCTTTTGTCAAACTTAATGTTTGCTTGTTTGCCAAGTTTGAATGTTTTTCTTTGTAAGAAAAAGCTGCCATCTTGCCACCCTACCTCACAGCCAAGACGTATGAAGAACAGGGGAGATTGTTGTCACATGTAGTACACAACCAGTGCTTGCCAGAAATTCCTCTTGGTAGCCTCTTGGATGAGTTTTCTTCTTGTTATTTTTATCAGTTCTTGAGAATGTCACTGTTGTGCCATATTTTCCCACTTGTTGATGACTGTCTTCACTGTGTTCAATGATATAGCCAATACCTTGGAAATTGTTTTGTACTCTTCTCTTAACTTATACCTTTTAACAATGAGATCCCTTTGATTCTTTGTAAGCTCTTTGCAGACCATGGTTTTTGCTGAAAGAGGCAACTAGTAAAAAACAGAAAAATCCTGCTAGAATAGCTGATCTTTATATGGACTTGATCAGAGTCACTTTAATTAATGGCAAGTGTGTACTGACATGTATAACATCAATTTGAATGTGATTAGTTAATTCTGAACACAACCACATCCCTACTTATAAAAGAGTGGGTACACTTATTGTAAGTTTTTTTATTGTTATATCCCCCACCCATTTTTTTGGCTTGTTTTTGAATTGAATTATATAGCTTATGTGTTATATTTATGGTGCAAAAAATTCAGAAGTGGTTTATTTCAGTTTGATATTTTTTTTACAACTCAAATAACTGGCATTTCAATAGGGTGTATAGACTTTTTATATTCACTTTTATTGGGACCAATGGTCTATGTAAATGAATATAAAAGCAATTAAATATATGGTAATCATTGTTGATTATTCGAATTATTTGTGTTAACTGTTGCCATTGAAAATTTGGCCACAATATTAGTGATGTTCTCATTTCAATCAGAAGATAAAAACTTTATATACTAAAGATCTGTTTATTTGAATATTTTTGCAAGGAATTAAAATAAGTAAATTCTTCTAATTATATTATCATGCTTTAGTGATGATTTCGATTTCTCATGAACTCTGTGGACAAGTCCAGAACTTTTTTACATTTCTATGTCTGTGGAGATTCTCAGTTATTCAGGTCATAGTCGCAAAGGTGCTTTTCCAAAAGGCAACTGGACTTTGTTTTTTTCCATGAAAACGTTTCATTTCTCATCCAAGAAGCTTCTTCAGTTCAGTTTAAATATCTACCCAAGAAAGTGGATGCAGAGTACTATACTGCACCCCCACCAAAAGCCCTTCCTTAATCTAGAGCAGGTGTGTCAAACTTGATTTCATTGAGGGTCGCATCAGGATTGTGTTTGACTTGGGGGGGCTGGGGGGGCATGGCTGGGGTGCATGAGGTCACTCATGTGGGGGCACCAGTGGTGGCCTGAGCGCTCTGTCAGCGAAAATGGGCTCCCAAACTCTGTTTTTGTCTGCGACAGCCCCCTGCAACCCTCTGCCAGCGAAAATGGAGCTCAGGAGCTTCATTTTCACTGGCAGAGGCACCATGGGCCAGTTCTTGCCCGTTTCCAGAATGGTTGCACCAGCCAGATCTAAGCACCTTGAGGGGCAGATTCTCCTGATCTAGAGGAAGTGAAATATGTCAGGTATTTACCAGCACAGTTATAGCTGCTATATTGCATGGTATTGAAAAATAACAGGTCATTGCAGGACTTTATATGATTGACAATAATATAAACTATTTTAAAACATTCTACATCAAAAATTATTTTCAGATGAAAGTTGCTATGAGCAAATGAATGTCCCTTCTCCTAGATCCACCACTGATGCACAGGTTTGTACATGCTTGTTTATATCAATGTTCTTTAATTTCTAACAGCTTTTTTCAAGGCCCTTTATGGTGCTAAATGATTTGCCTGGATCTTAGCTGCACTAAAATACAGAACGTTACTTTCAAAATCTTGGCCAATTTAAAGTTTAATTCCAGCCCTATCTTCTTTATCAATTCTATATCTTCCTTATCAATTCTATGTAGATATGTCACATTCATTTATGTCCATTTATTATTTTACCTTAACGAAATTATGGAGTCAAGAGTTCTAAGTTATTGCAGGTAAAGTAACATTTAGTTACAATGGCCAAGATAGATGTGATCTCAAACCCAAGCTTAGAGATGAGACAGTGAAATCTCATGCTTTTATTTGCTTACACCAGAGCTGTCAAACTTGTGGCCCACGAGCAAATGCATCACATGCTGGCCACACCCATGCCTGGTTTAGCGAAGGGGGAAAAAGTGACAATATCTCACGTGATGCCACCATGACAACATGAGTTTAACTTACACCTGGCTTACACCTATACACAGAATCTTGCCAAACTAAAGCTATAATTGTCTAGGCCAGCCATCTGGCTTGGTAGCCTGGCGGTTGGAGGGGAGAGGGGATAATTTTTTCCCAAGAGGTAGATGGTCACCACTTGTGTGAGGGAAGCTTTGTGCATGCACACATGCTTTCCTGCCGCTTGTGCGGTCTGGTTCCAAAGAGTCTGCGGCCCGGTAATGGCCTGTGGCCTGGTAGTTGGGGACCCGTTTCCTGCTACTAGGCATACCCCAAGTGATTTGAAATTACGGTTACCCTGAACCTCTCCCCTCTTCCCCCATCCAGTTCAGGACTGCACTCTCTTTCTAGAAAAGATCTAAGTTGGCAAAATCATCCCACTGTGCTGCTGCAGGTACACATTCCACATAATGGTACAATGATTCAGTGTAACACAACCTTGTTAATTACAATTAACAAAAGGTCTGTGAATTCTCAGAATTGGATTGTGCATTAGCAAGATTCATTTTGAACCCTCCTGAGTTTGATAGGAGATATACCTAAATATGCTTGAGCATGGCTCCTACTTACTGCTCAGTTCTCAAGAACAGCACATTAATCATTGAGCTGGGAAATATGGGTTGTGTGAATCATAGATAAGCATTCAAATGTTATCTGTTACAGTTACTGGTGGAATCTGTGATTTCACACAAATGAGCAGGGTTCATTTTCAGGATGTCGGAGAAGGACCGGCGCCTAATTCTCCTTCATATTCTGGCATAAATCTAGCTAATAAAAGTTAAGCGTGCAACTATGTGGTTGCTTTGCAAATTTGGTCAAAGACAATTGTACTGAGAAATTATTAACATTGCCAGAGCATTATTGGAATAATCTCTGAGACACTTATCTCTGGATATCTCATAACACAGCAACACTGTTGCAATAACCCATTTACAGAGATGCTACAAACACAGTTTGTTAACCTATACAAGAGCCCTCCAGTAGGGTGTATGGGTGGAGACAAAGTAGGAGGCCCTGCCCCATTTGAAGTAGAATTGTGTGAAATCAAGATATTGAACCAGTTCATCCAAATAGAGAGTAAAATAGGGGAATGGCCTGGTAATGAATAGACTTTTCTTATATAGTATGCCAATGCAGTATCAGTAAAAAATATAGCCTTCTTCAAATGCATATGGAATAAGCTAGCAACTATTAGTTCAAGTGGATCAACAGTGAACATATAAGAATCAAGTATTGCAGTGACAACATTATTTACATTATGCTTGCTATAATAACCTTAATGAATGCAAACCTAAGGAAACAGTAAGTCTTGTGTGGTGGTCTCTCATGGAAAGAAGACACAACGCAAGGTTGTCTCGGGATGAGAGCCCAGAGCAAACTCTGAAACCCTCTTTTATTAGAAGCAATCTTTGTTAACGTAGCAATTTTTGTTAGCGTCCTATCACAAACGCATTACATCACACAAAATGCACTGATCATTCGCATAAGCATACAAGGCTGTAAAGTTTAAGTTTGCTACAGTCCTGGTTTAGAAATGGCAACAATTTGTCCTTGCTCCTTGCTTCGTGTTCCAGCCAACCACCAGAAGGCTCCGTTGTCCTAGCACGTACACAAAGAACAAAGAATCATAGTTCCCACAGTCTTGTTCAAAGATGACTGTGGATAATGACAAATCTTAAATCTTTTAGGTTTAACAGGAAACCAAGAGTCCTATAATAGAGTTCTTGATTTGCAGGAAGCCCCAATGCCAGTCCTAAAAGCATATTAGGTTTGATGGAATTCCCTAACATTTCCTCCAAAGATTGCAATAAAAATGTATCAGCAAGAACTATTTAGATAAGCAATTCAAATAGAGAAAGGGAATCCAATATTAACTTACGTTTTATGATCCTATTCCAATGGATTCAGGAATGGATCCAATGGATCCAATTTTTCACAGTAAAAATAATGAATTCATGATTAGATAAGATAGGAAACCAGTTGAGGAAAAAGTGCTGTTTCCAAGAAGTTACCAGAATAACAGAACAACTAAGTTGGAAGGGACCTTGGAGGTCTTCTAGTCCAACCCTCTGATCAGGCAGGAAACCCTATACCATTTCGGACAAACTGTTGTCCAATCTCTTCTTAAAAACTTCCAGTGTTGGAACATTCACAATTTATGGAGTCAAAATGTTCCACTGATTAATTGTTCTGTCAGGAAATTTCTCCTTAGTTCTAGGTTGCTTCTCTCTTTGATTAGTTTCTATCATTTGCTTCTTGTCATGCCTTCAGCTCCTTTGCAGAATGGCTTGACTCCCTCTTCTTTGTGGTAACCCCTGAGATATTGGAAGACTGCTGTCATGTCACTCCAGTCCTTCTTTTCATTAAACTAGACATACCCAACTCCTGCAACCATTATGTTATAGCCTCTAGTGTCCTAATCAACTTTGTTGCTCTTCTCTGCACGTTTTAGTGTCAACATTTTTTTTGCATCGTGATGACCAAAACTGGATGTAGTATGCTACAGGTGAAACTCGAAAAATTAGAATATCGTGCAAAAGTTCATTTATTTCAGTAGTGCAACTTAAAAGGTGAACCTAATATATGAGATAGACTCATTACATGCAAAGCAAGATAGTTCAAGCTGTGATTTGTCATAATGGATTATGGCTTACAACTCATGAAAACCACAAATCCACAATCTCAGAAAATAAGAATGTGAAAAGGTTCAAAAAGGTTCAATATTCTAGGCTCAAAGTGTCCCACTCTAATCAGCTCATTAAGCCATAACACCTGCAAAGGGTTCCTGAGCCTTTAAATGGTCTCTCAGTCAGGTTCAAGTAGGAATCACAATCATGGGAAAGACTGCTGACCTGACAGCTGTGCAGAAAACCATCATTGACACCCGCCATAAGGAGGGAAAGCCTCAAAAGGTAATTGCAAAAGAAGTTGGATGTTCCCAAAGTGCTGTATCAAAGCACATTAATAGAAAGTTATGTGGAAGGGAAAAGTGTGGAAGAAAAAGGTGCACAAGCGGCAGGGATGACCGCAGCCTGGAGATGATTGTCAGGAAAAGGCCATTCAAAAGTGTTGGGGACTTTCAGGAGTGGACTGAGGCTGGAATCAGTGCATCAAGAGCCACCACAAACAGACGGATCCTGGACATGGGCTGCAAATGTCATATTCCTCTTGTAAAGCCGCTCCTGAACAACAAACGTCAGAAGCATCTTACCTGGGCTAAAGAAAAACAGAACTGGTCTGTTGCTCAGTGGTCCAAAGTCCTCTTTTCTGATGAGAGCAACTTTTGCATCTCATTTGGAAACCAAAGACCCAGAGTATGGAGGAACAATGGAGAGGCACACACTGCAAGATGCTTGAAGTCCAGTGTGAAGTTTCCAGTCTGTGTTGATTTAGGGAGCCATGTCATCTGCTGGTGTTGGTCCACTGTGCTTCATTAAGTCCAGGGTCAACCCAGTCATCTACCAGGAGATTTTGGAGCACTTCATGCTTCCTTCCGCAGACAAGCTTTATGAGGATGATGACTTCATTTTCCAGCAGGACTTGGCACCTGCCCACACTGCCAAAAGCACCAAAACCTGGTTCAATGACCATGGGATTACTGTGCTTGATTGGCCAACAAACTCGCCTGACCTGAACCCCATAATCTATGGAGAATTGCCAAGAGAAAGATGAGAGACATGAGACCGAACAATGCGGAAGAGCAGAAGGCTGCTATTGAAGCATCCTGGTCTTCCATAACACCTCAGCAGTGCCACAGGCTGATAGCTTCCATTCCACGCCGCATTGAGGCAGTAATTGCTGCAAAAGGGGCCCAAACCAACTGAGTACATATGCATGCTTATACTTTTCAGAAGTCTGATATTGTTCTATGTACAATCCTTGTTTTATTGATTGCATGTAATATTCTAATTTTCTGAGATTGTGGATTTGGGGTTTTCATGAGCTGTAAGCCATAATCACCCCAATTATGACAAATCACAGCTTGAACTATCTTGCTTTGCATGTAATGAGTCTATCTCATATATTAGTTTCACCTTTTAAGTTGCATTACTGAAATAAATGAACTTTTGCACAATATTCTAATTTTTTGAGTTACACCTGTGTGGCCCAACCAAGGCATTATAAAGTGGTATTAACACTTCACATGAAATTGATTCTATCTGTTAATACATCTTGGAACTGTGTTGGCTTTTTTTGGCAGCTGCAGCATACTGCTGGCTCATATTAAAGGGATTGTCCACTAGGACTCCAAGATCAGTTACTAGTGAGCCAGGTACCACCTATACTGTACCTGTACATTTGGTTTTTCTTGCCCAAATGAAGAACCTTATTTTTTTCACCATTGAATTTCATTTTGTTAGATAGCGCCCAATGTCCAAACACTTAATTGCAAATCTATATCATTTCATTTAGGTGTATCATACAACTGAATTGTTACTTTTACTGTTAGCTGTTTGCCATCATGGTAAAAATGACATATCAATAATATGAATTGCTTGTTTTTTGTAGCAAACAGCTGAACGCCAAATGTGTTATGCTTCCCTTGATCATAGTGTCAGAAGAAAGCACAAAATGCAGCCCAAAAAGAAATATCCTACATTAGAAATGGGTGAAAATCAACTTACCAGAAAGAATTCCACGCTGTCTTGCATTTATCTCAACAGTGAACAACTCAGTGCTGAAAATAAGTTGTCTGAAAATACTTCTCACGTTGATTCGTTCAGAGAGTTTGGTTTAAAACACAATGCAAATGATGTCATGTTTCAGTAACCAAATAATTTTCTCAATTTAAACACTCACTGAGATAATCAATTGCCAAGTTAGATAAATTATTGTGTGAATAAAATTGTGCCATTGAGTTCTGTAGAGAAACAATTCATTTTTATTTTTATTTTGAGACTTTCCATTAAATGTGCTTAGAAGAGTCTGGATCATGCAAGAAGTTATCGGGGCCATGGAGAAACTTGCTTAGTCCTTTCAACAGGCCAGTGTGGAACTGGTTATACCCTCCACCTGCTTCAAGTATGAGTAGAAGCCAAAATACTGTTTTTACTATAAAAGTTATATTCCATTGGAAGATTAGAATCATTAACAAAATTTTTGCTACCTTTCTGAGAAAAACGTACTCATTCAGCTCTGCTCTGGATAATTGTAACTTGCCATACGGCACATGTAATAACATCAGGAAATATTTAAGGTTAATTAGGGAATAATGTATCAGCTTTGATTCATCTAATTAAGAGTTATACAGCTAGCAAATGTAATGTCGGCATGTATTTAGTTTCCTGCTAGTTAAGAACTGTTAAGAGTCAATCCCAATTATTCAATGAGCATGTAATGTCTTGAGCATCTGAATTAAATGGTCTATAAAGAAAGTAGTAAATGAGGTATAAAAATAAATCTCCAAGGAAGAATTTGACATTTTTCATTGTATTTAACTGATTGCTATTCACTTTTACACCACTGTTTTATCGTGTATTTTATAAGAAGTGATATTCCTAATTGCTGCCCAGATATACTGTACCTGTTCAATTCAGTCCAAAACATTTTTTTGTAATAAAAAATACATGAATGCATTGGATATATCATAATATAGCAATGAAGTTTGAATTAGGCACAATTTGAAATTAGTCAGTGACCTTTAAACCTGTCTTACACTTTTTTTGAATTACTAGTAATGGTCGCTTTTTGTTCATAGTGAACAAATTCAAGAGAAAATTATATAGTTGGTATAATTCTAGGAAGCAAATATTTAAATATATATTTTTTAATTTGACATGAAAATAAACAATTACCAGTAGTTCCAAAATATGTACTATGTAATGCTTCCTCTAATTATTTAATAAATGTATTTTAACTGATCAATAAAGGAGAATATTTGTAGCTTAAGGTTGAAATGAGGGCTCCTTGATGCTCTGAGAGGTTTTAGCAGATGTTTCATTACCCTAACTAGGTCACATCATCAGCCTTAGAAGTACCATGTCCTGATATATAGATTCCCCATTTCACCTGGCCTGTTCAAGCAAAAAAAAATATAAGATTGAAATGATTTTCCTTCACATGGCAGCCTTATAGAATTGAGCCTTTCTTGCTGGTCCCATCCCTGCTGATTGAAAACACCCAAAGGTAGGGAACAATTTATTTACTGTTCCACTACTACCCCAAGATAACACTATCTATTGCATTTTATTTTTAATTTATGGTTTTTAAGCCAAGCCTTCCATGTTCCATCTTGGGTAGCCTTGAAAATTGTTCAGCAAATAAGGAGGTGAACAGTTTTATATATTCCAGTAGTAGCCTTAAAATAAACTCAGACAAAATACAAACATATTAAAATGTTTATTAGGTGAAGATATATGTGTCAAATATTAGGTATATTTAAAATAAAATCAAAACAAAAAAGTATATTTTCAAATATACTCTTTATCAACGAAACAAAGATTTTTCTTTAAAAAATCCACAAACTTATTGAACAGTAAGTTAAAAGCTCTTTATAAAAACACAACTATTATTTCTCAACTCCCAATAACCTCTTTCTAGAGGTGCAGATCAAACAAATTAAGGGCTGCAAAAGATGTTTCTTATAGCCACTTAAGCTAAATAAACTACCAAGAAGGAAAAAACCAATTAGCTGAACTGCTGAATTTTAGAAACATAGTCTCCATTATCTCTATAATTTTCCAATGACAGAATTGCATAGATTTGGATGCTGAACTATATCAGTAGTTTTTAATCTCTCCATTTTCACTGCTAGAACTACTACTCTGTGCTAGAACTGATAAGTTAAAGAACTGGTAAAAAATATTTACCCACTTTAGTTCAGGAATATTCCACTGAATATATATTCTGTCTAGAAATTACTGGATTAAAATATGTTTTGTTAAACCCTTCCAAACCCTTCCAGAAATGTTTCCTCATAATCCTTCTGTATGTGTTCTCTTCTTCTGATTCCCCCATCACTATAGCTCAGCTTTCTGGAAACTCTAGCAAAGAAACAAAATTTAATACAGACTGATAAGTACCAAATACAAATACAAAGCAGCAAAAGAGCTCCCCGCACAGGTATATTGATCATATCCTTTTTAACTGAAAAAAAATCCATCTCTGTACTTCTATGCATAAACAATAAACTAATGACCCTCTGATGCATTTCAAAGAAATTCATACACGACATATCACATAAGAAATATAAAGCCCACCAAAGCATATTATGCCACTGGATCTTGATGCTGTATTTCAGAAGATAATAATTAGAACATCAGAATATTTTAACATGTACAACATAGCAAAATAATCTTAAGCTTAGGTCACTTGTGACATAAACAATGACAAAATTGTCATTTGTGGTGTGAACAATGCATGATGTACAAGAAACTCACCACTGGTTTCTGTTAGTGAAACGTAGTGATCAAACAATATGACTTAACACTGACAGTGGAATTTATGATATCGGCTAGTATCCATCACTCTTATATGATTCAAATTTTCATATGAAAGTGTTTTTTGGGGAAATATGCACAAATACATGACTGCGAATATTAAAGTATATAAGTTTTGTACATCAACATGTGCAGGTTGGTGGTTTTTTTGTTTTTTTGTTTTGCTGTAAGCTAAAATAATTCATCTATTCACTTCCCTTTATTTGCTTGAATTCTAAAAGAAATTGATGTCCAACTCTAATTGTAGATGATCTCTGGCTATCAATGTCTGTCTCTTCTCACTACGGTATGCCCATAATTTATCATTTTTGATACAGCAATGCTAATCATCTCAATATATTGATGAAGGAATAATTAATCATCTCAGTGCACAGTAGTTAAATAAATTCAGTGACACCGAGCAACATACAGAGATAATGTTGCTTTGACTGGACCTTGTTTTTATTTATCTGTGATCATTCATAATTCCCGTCTCCCCTGAACTGCCTACCATCAGATTATTATGTAGAAAGGAATGTACTGTAGAAGAGAGCACAGATGATCTTCTGTACTGTATCTTATGTCTTAGTGCACGAAGCTGTTTTGTAATCCCACAAAACATTCCTTAGATTACCATGAGCAAATTTAAGCCTCAAGGCCACATGAAACTCCTTTGGGAGTTCTGGGACCACTTTCAACCACTCCATTTTTCCAGTGTTGTAAGGTAGTTACAAAATGATAATGCAATTGTACAGTAAAGCTCTTCATAGTTTAAAAACAAGGAAAACACTCAGATCTACCAATTTTATAGAGATCTCTCCTGCTCACAAGGACCTTTGATTCCCTGGACCAATTTTTTAAATGTGAATCTTGGCAATAGAAAGATTATCAATCTTGCCTTAATGTTAGCTAATAGAGATACCTGAGCATTTTGTCTCCTCTTTTCTACGCATTCACAAAGAAATATAAGAAAGAAATTGTTATCACTTAAGGTGGGATGGACAGCAATAAAAATTCGATAGATAAATAAATGAAATACTGAAAGGGAATTCAAATATTGCTTACTTTGGTATATAATTCTGTGACTTTCTTGAAAACTCATGTCCCCGCAAACACCTGGGAATATTTCCATTCATATCTGAAATCCCGGATTCTTTGAACATGTTATATATGGATTAAAAGTGTATGTTTAAATGTTTTGGTTACAAATTATTTCAAAAAGAATAAAAAAACATAACAAAGATACGAAAAGTAAAGTAATGTCCCTTTAGCAGGTTAAATAAATATTATTCTTACTGTAAATTTCTTATAAACCAAATTGAAACTAACTTCAAATGTACTTTGAGATGGGCAATTCAGAAATGGGAAGAATAATAAAAATAGTAAAAAAAATTAGTTCCATTCATATTTTTAAACAAATCAACCTAATTCATATTTTCCAGATTATGTAATACACATACGGTTGCCTTTACTTTCTGACACTCTTTTCCAACTATAACATGGTAATTCAAAACTCAAAAATTGCATACATTAATTTCATATTATTGAAAGTGGGAAAAACAAAAGCAAATGCAGACTGATTTGTCAGTCAATGGACACATGAAGTTAAAAATACTCAAAAACTTCAACCCAATGATCTAATATTAGGAAAAAATGTTCCTAATTTGGAATATTAGGAATTAGTCATATTAGGAAATAGGTTCAGACAAAAGAAACAATGTTGGTATGTCATTAAAAAAACCTGAAATTATTTGTGCTATTCTGAAAGCATCTGTTGACCTTGTATATTGTTTGTTGCCTATACTATTTTTATACAGTATAAAGGATTAAAAATCTAGTTGATCTAATATTTGAATATTTCTTGGAATAAACAATTAGCTGCCTAACTTGACCAAAGAACCATACATTGCTATATAGTTTGCATTTAATCTTTTAAACCAACCTTCCATATCAGCAATTGAAGTGGCCAGAAATCCATGACCTGAAGCAACAGAACCTCCGTAATTCTGAAAATTAAAAAGTTTAAGACTTTTAACTAACATCATCAACCTGGATTGCTAATGTCCCAGAATAAAATGTTATTTAGCCACAAGCTTCTACCATACTTTTTTCCATTCTGCATCACTTTAGTTTCCAAGTATCAAGCTATTTTTGCAGAAGATTTGGATCAAACGTTACTTTACCTTTCATCTGTCATACATGTTTAATCTGTTGCTTGGATGCAGTTTTAAAAGAAAAAAAAACTAGCATCTAAATATTAATATTCTTCCATAATCTAGTTTCATGTATTAGAAAAGAACACCGGTAAGGAGAACCACACAGTGCCGTAACAACTAGTAAGACTCTTAGTCTAAGAGATTAGTTAAAAATATTTGTGCTAAATTCAATGAGATTTATACGTAGGACTTTGCCCTGAAAGGTAAGTTCATGTATTTTAGAAATGTTGTCTATAAATAAAATACTTTTAAAGGATTTGGTACTTTAAAACAGTTTTGAGGTTTGAAGGCACTGTAGAAGATTATATTTCACTTACCGTATTTGATGCCGAACTGTTTTTAACAGGTGAATGCAATGTGGAAGTTGTATCTCTTATGTTTTTCCTGCAAGGTAATTTCTGATATATTCTGTTAGAATGATCAGATTTATTTTTTAACCTTTTTAAAGGTAAATACTGAAAATCTTCATTGCAAAAATGTGCCGCTCTTTTCATTCTGGCAACAGCAGGCAGAATTCTTATTGGAGAATTAACAAGGGCATTTACAGTTTCAGATATCTGCACTCCTTCGTATTTTTTTAAGTTTGCTGCTCTTAGAAATGTTGGAAATTTGGGAAAGCCTTCAGAACATAATTTCTGGTACATATCATCAATTGTACTGTTTGTTTTTTTATGGAAATTTGAGGACAGATTACCTAAACCAGAAGTGTGAACATCTGCAGAGTTTCTAAGGCTTGTGTACATATTTGAACACTTAAATGGCTTCTGCAACTTTGGAGAACACAATTCCTTATATATTTTTTCAAATGCATCTTCATATTTCTGTTTATAAGAGATGGGACTTCGGTTAACATGAAACGATGAAAAAGAATGACTTCGTGGTAATGAAACAGTGGCAGTGAAAGTTTTAATTTCATGATTTTTGAGTCCATTAGAGGTTTTCACTGGAGATTTGCTTCTTTGTAAAATGGAGTTTGTACTGCCATTCAAGGACAAACTTAAACTTGAGGTGGTTTTGAATGCCACCGTACTCAGTTTGTCAGTTTCACTTTCTGCTTTTGGATTAAATGCTGTGTCTAAATCTACAGTGCAAAATGTA